TTAATAAGTCTTTGCAGGAGAGTCCTATGGTAGAATTTTCAAAAGTGCCTAAGTCCCATTTCGAAACTGAATTTTAAAAGTGTAAGTTTAATTCAAGGTCAATGAATCTTAGTTTCCAAAGTGCCCCAATCACTTTGAAACTTGGGAATCTAAGTCAATTTGGCTCTTGAAAATTCTACCCCTAGTTTCTGGATACATAAAAAAAAAAAAGCCAAATATGTTCTATACATTTTTGGCAATTTTTTCGCCTTTTCTAAAAACTTCAACATAAAGCATTTTATAACAAAAAGAGGACCATGGATTGCTATGAAAGCAGTTTGAGTCTAGCTCTGGTGCTCAAGTAATTTTGAAACAAGTCCCTAGATCAGATGAGAGCACCCTGCAGCACGCGAGGCAGGAGCTCAGCACCTCACCCCATGCAGTGGGGCGCCAAAGCTGCAGCCCCAACCTCAGCTATGCAGATACAGGCTGGAGCACCAGCTCTAACTTCCTGCTGGGAGGGGGGCTGGGAGAGGCATGCACGCACGTCCCTGAGGCTGCCCCTGCCTGGCCTGGGCGTGCAGCTCCCAGGAGCTAAGGGATTAACACTCCCCACCCCCCCATGCTACAGGCTCTGCCTCCTGCTTTGGGAAAGGGCAGGGCTGGGCCTGTTCCGCAGATTGGGGATGGGCGGCTGGTCATACATGGTCGCCGGGGCCCAGGCTGCACCGTGCTATGCTGCTCCCCATGAGGGGGGCAGGGGCAGGGAGCTTCTTCTTTAAGCATCCCACTGTACTCAGAGCTGCAGGTAAGGGGAAAGACCTGGGCAAAGGGAAGGGCCAGGCAAGGAAATGACTATACCCCCTCACCCTTCCCCAGCCCCCGCTCGCCTTAGCGCTGCTCCCAGGAGCTGCAAGTCCCAGTGCTGCTGCCCTGCTGGTGAGTGTGCTGAGGGGACAGGGATGTGGGAGGAAGGAGAGGATGGGAGGGGACAAGGGCTGCACTATGAAGGGATCAGGCTGCGGGGGGGGGCGGGGGCATGGGGCTGGGGGGAATGAGATGAACAGAGGGAAGATGTGAGGGGGATACAAGGCTCCTTTGCAGAAGCTGCACTTTCCTTTACTCCCCAATCTGCCTTCCTTCTCCACCCCACCCATCACAGCACAATCCCCTTTGCACCTATGTGCACCTTATTGTGCATGGATGAGAATTCCAGCCTGTTTGCACAATAATCAACCAGCTACAAGGGTTGTGATGTGCAGCTACTTGGATACATTCTCACCTTTTTTGCATTATTGCCCAACTCCCTTTTATCCCCAAACTTGTAACCCCATCCCACACTCTCTCCTGCTGCCAAACTCCATTCCAGACCCTGCCCTCCTCACCCTCTACTGCACTCCATATCCCACCCAGATCCTGCACTTCCACCACTATTCCACTCTCTGGCAGCCCTCTCCTGAACCCCTCATTTTTGTCCCCATCCAAAAGCCTAAAGGGGTCCCCAAAATCCACTAACCCTGGAACCCCAGAAAAGTAAATCTGGCCTATGGGAACCCCTGAACCTCAGTTCCCTGTCCCTTCCCCATGCCCCATGGAGCTGGAGCACCAGAAAATGAGGTGTCTCAGTTGGGGCTACATCAGTGAACAATGGGGGTTTTTGGAGTGGGGTTTTTTTTTTTTGTTTTTTTTTGGTTTTCACGTATATGGTTCCCAACTGACATTTCTGTGGGTCAGTGGCTCCTGACCCAAAAAAGCTTCCCCACTCCTGCCATAAACAACAAAAACAAAAAACACTGAAACCTTTTGTATTGACCATAAATTAATATTTTACTTTATTTAAAATTAAGTTTGGTTAAAACGCTTTGTCAGCTTAATCATTTAAATTAAGCCATTCTAGGAAAGAGAGACTAGAATAGTGAAAGCAAGAGTGAGTTTGAAGGCGATGGATAAGATCTGGAAAAGTAAAGCGATTATCTTAGGAATGAAGCTGAACATCTTGAAAATGTGTGTATTTAGCAGCATGTTGTACGGATGTGAGACATGGATAATATGAAAGATTCGAAGAGAAAAATATTGGCGTTCGAGAGGAGTTGTTATAGAAAGATCCTGAGAATAGGATGGATGCAGAAGATCACCAACAAGGAATTATATAGGAAGATACAGGCAAAAGAGAACCTACTGCAGAAGGTTATACAATGGAAGTTACAGCTATTCGGGCATAACTGCAGAATGAACAACAAGCGAAAAGACCCTGGTATTTGGCATAACAGACAGTCTGAATAGGAGAGGCAGACCCCACAGAGAATGGGTAGATGATATAGTAGATTGGTCGGAGCTAGTCTACAGTAACTAAGCCACTCCGCACTGGACAGGGAAAGATGGAAGGAAATAGTGAGGGAGGCATCGGACACCAACCGGCATTGAGCCCATGGTTGATGATGATGATGATTCTCCCTAGCTGCAGCACTAGCAAAATGGCTCAGGCATAATTATGTACTTAACGGAGAGTTTCCATTAGCAACTGTGGTATGCTGAAAGGTGCCAGGTGATCCATGGGGTGCACAGTGGAAAGAGCCCCTCCCTCCTTCTGGGAGAGTGGCACAGCCCAGGGCAGGCGGGTTAAATTTTGGCACACCACTTCAGAAAGATTGTCGACCCTGCCATAGATTATTTGTGTTAAGAGACAAATCCTAAGAACACATACATTTCATATTCCAATTGCAATTAGGCAGCTGCTAGTCAAAGTATAAAACATATTTAAATACATCTCAAAGAGGTATCTGTGTTAATCTGAATCTGCGAAAACAACAAGGGGTCCAATGGCACCTTAAAGACTAATAGATATATTTGAACAAAAGCTTTTGTGAAGTGTTTTACAAAGCTTATGCCCAAATAAATGTTAGTCTCTACTATTCCATAGGACTCCTCATATTTAAATAATGCAATTTTAAACAAACACATATATTGCATAGCTAAATATTCATAAATCAAGTGTAGTTAACAGACCTTAACTTTGGCAAAAATAAAAAACTCAACACTTATACCCTTCTCTTAAATAAGAACACATCATCAAAATGTTTACCTACAAATGACTAAAAACAAAATAATAAAATAAGATACCTGTCTGTAATGGTGCTCATTTTATGGGTCCTTATGGTAAAGAACATAACATGTCACACTTTAATCTTGTGGTAGACATTTGTATGTCTGCCTGGATGAGAATGGAAACAAACAGAAATGTTACTTTTGTAGAACATGTTATTTTTTTCCCCTGAGAAAGTATAAAGCTCCCTCTTGCCCCCAAAACAGTAAGCGCTTCTAACATTTATTTTCCCTGCATCGTTTCTCTTTATTTCAGTTATGAATCCCATATATCCAAACCTAATCATCTTATTTCACATGATACAGTTTAAAAGGCCATTCTTCTCTATATGCAATGATGAATCCATTTGGGTTAAGCTAGTTTAAACTTTCTGTATTTAGGAACAGCTTTTTATCCTTTATCTAGACCCATATTGCAAAATATGTGAATAATTTTCACGCCATCCAACAAAGTAAACCATCACATAGGGAGAAGAAAAATATAACCCAAACCAAGTGACTCCAATTAACCAGTCCTTCCAGAAGCTGTTGGGAGTGGGAGTGGTTTGGGGATCACATAAGCCAAATCCTATTAGTTCCAGAATGAGGAGGGGAAAAAACACCAAAGAGGAAAGGGATGCTGACAGACTGACAAGGGAAAAATTGTTCCAGAACTTTTATACCAGATGCCCCAGAGGGAGGGAACAAAACAGGTAATCCTTATGTGATCCCTCTCCTGTCACCCACCTCCAGAGAAACAGAAGCCAGTAACACCATTCCTACCCACCCTGGCTAATAGCCAATGATGGACCTAACCTCCATGAATCTATCTAGCTCTTTTTTGAACCTGTTAAAGTTCTAGTCTTCACCACATCTTTGAGGATAATTGTCAATAGTTTAAAGTACATCTATTTCTGTCCATCTGTTCAAGAACTCCTCCTAAACTATAAAAGTTAGGACCATCAATGTTGATATGTAGCTTCCTCTTATAACTTAAAGCAAAGTAAGGGTTTGGCTGTGCCAGAAAAATGGGATGTGTTTGGAATGGGACGGAGTCTCATAAATCCATACAGAGAAGACACAAAATCATCAGGCATGTGAAAGGGGCTGTCCCCATCCAGGACTGTCCTAGCCCTGAGCCTCCCACACCCAGACACCCTTTAAGAAGAGAAGGCTGAAGCTTTCCCGCCATGCCCAATTCATATGGGAATACTACTTGCTTTTCCCCTTCATCAAGGAGCAACAGGAAAGTGCAGTTTGCTACAATCCTCACTCTGGCTGGAATTACAGGAAGCAGATGAACTTGGGCCTGCCCTAGCTGGGGGACATGCACCCCTCCCCCCGGCTGGACTTGTTAGATCTGCAACAACTATGGAGGGGCGCATCTCACCTGGCCCCAAGCTGCTGCGGATGGAAAGGGTAGATTAGTCCTCTCTCCTTGGGGCAGTTTACATACTGAACTCCTCAATCCCAGCCCTATCCCAGATCAACGATTTAAACAAAGCATGCATATATTTTTTATATATATATATATATATATATATATATATGTTTTCCTCCTGCCACTCTACGCTCCTCAATCCCAGCCCTATCCCAGATCAACGATTTAAACAAAGCATGCATATATTTTTTATTTATATATATATATATATATATATATATTTTTTCCTCATGTCACTCTACGTCCCTCTGCCCTCAGCCACATGGCCTTCTCCCTCCTGCGTTCCCCCTCCTCAGTGCTCAGAAGAGGGGGAGAGCCATGCTTGATGTGCTGCAGCCTCACCCTGGCCCTCCCTGGCAGCCAGGGGAGAGAGCCAGGCCTGACTTGGCCTGAACTTGATGGCAGCGCGGGGGGGAAGGTAAGGGGGAGAACGGGAAGAGAGCTGGGACTGCCATGCTGCAGCCTCAGCCCAGTGACCAGGGAGGGGGAAAGGGGAGAGCTGGGGTTGCCACCACAGCGTGGCTTTGGCCTGGCACCTGGGGGTGGAGTCGGGGCTGGCACGCTGTGGCGTTGGCAGGATGGCCGGGGAGGACAGGAAGAGCCAGGGCTGGCATGCTGAGGCTAGGGGAGGGAAGGAGCCGGGGCTGCCTATCCCCAGAGAGAGAGGGGTTGACAAGCATAGTGAATGGGGGGCACAACCCTCTAGTTAGTTTAAAAAAAAAAAAAAAAAAAAAAAAAAAAAACCCTGAGTTAAGGACCTGAGCAATGCCAGGTAAATCTTCTAGTTTAATCATATTAGAGATGTGAAATACCACCAGAGTGAGTAATCCATTAAAATATTATGCTAATATTATGGGAAATGCAATCCCTATAATCCATTTTTAGATGGCCATTTCTTGATTCTAAAGCAATTTTTAAAAAAAGAAATAGTTGTATGGATAAATAATCTGGATTGGAGACTACAATCAAAATATTGCTGGCATGTGAAGTTTTCCATAGTTCAAATATTTTGCTCAACAAAGGCCAAAAATAAGAATTTTTTCCAGACACAAAATCATTTTTGCAGATACGGATAAAAGTAGCAAAATCTCTACATGGAAATGGTAAATTTGCTCCTGTTACATAAAGAAATAAGCACACTGAAATAATATTATTCCTATAGAGAATAAAAAGTGTATTTTTACTGGTTTTAAAAAGGGTGAAAATGTTAGAGAAATATTAAAGTTCCAAGCCTACAACAGAATCCATGTTGGCAGACATTATGGATTTCACTAGGCTTCTGCGCTAACACACAGGTGTCTAACTCTCATAAATCCCATAGTGGAAAGGAGCAGCTAATTTACTGATTCCAAGGGACTAAGTTGCCTGACTACCCATTGCAGGATCAAATACTTTGGGCAATGTTACAATTTTAGGGAATGCATACCACTTATGAATAGAGACCTGCAAATCCATGCCTATCCACTTTATATCTGCAGCACATGTTTGCAGATATGGGTGCAGATAGAGAATTTGTATCTAGAGCCCTGCAAGCTTGTGGATATCTGCTTTATATCCAGAGGTATCCACGTCTGCTGATGTCAATGAGGATATCCATGGCTCATTTTTGCAGATGTGGATACAAAGCCACACAAGAAACTTCTTCGAGAAAAAGAATCAGTCAGGTTGCATAACCCAAAAGGGGTGATGGAACGGAGCTAGCTGCAGTACCAAACAAGGTCAGAGACAGGAACTTGATCTAGAGGGGGAAAGAGGTTCAAGCCACGAACTGCATCAGAAAGTTCCTGTTCTCCCCTACAGGACTTAGAACACAGCTCAAGGAATACTCCAGTGTGGTAATGAAACAGAAAAAGTTTATAGGATTTATTTTGTATAGCACAGTTAATTTCTTAAGATGTAAAAGAGTAATGATGTTTTAGAATCCTATGTTAAGTCTGCCTGTTTCGTACGTGTTATACCTATCACATGCCCGTGAAGACATATACTATGGACCCAGAATACCCATAGGGCTGGAATGGTGTAGGAGGGTGTGTTTAAGTTATAGGGTAGCCAATGGGTCAGCAGGGGTCCTAAGCAGTGAGCTGTTGGATTTTGTAGTGTCAGCTACTAGAAGAGGCTAGAGGTGTTAAAACACTTTTTACTTTTGTGAACATGTAAGTGTTGAATTTTTTTAGCAGTTACATGTTTACTCACAGATGGCAGGTGGGAGCTGGTGCTAATGGGGAGACGGATTTTTTTGTGCAGGGAGCAAGTTTGAAAGCCAGCCTCCTGCATGCACCGGCTTCTGCCTGCTCGCCCTACCCACTGCGCTGCTACCTCTCTATCACAGGCTGTAGCGCAGGAGGGCAGGCAATTCCACAGGAGCCAGTGCTCGTGTGAAGCTGTCTTAAGCCAGTGTCCCCTCCTCTCGAACCAGCTCCTACTTATCTTCTACTCTGCATTGCTGCCTCTGTGGGAGATAGCGGGGGGAGGGCAGGCAGCTCCATGGGAGCTTGTTCCCCACACGTATTGGCTTCTGCCTCCCTCATCCTGCACTGCCTCTGATACAGATGCAGCAAGTGGGGTAGTGCGTGTAACCATTAGGATTAACTGATAACTCCAGGCTTGTCGGTTAATCATGTAAACGGGTACACGCTAGCATCCCTAGAAGGGGCATGCTAGACAGGGGATTTGGGCACTGAGAATGTGCCTAGAATATCCATGATGGAGGCAATGCCTGGGCTGACTCCGTTCAGACTCAAGAAACCTAGGGTGCACAGGATTCAGATGTTGATACTGTCACAAAAGATTGGTGAGTGGAAGAGGAGGCATTTGAGTAGATATGTGAAAAGGAAAACAAGGGGCTGGAGGAGAGGAAAATGTGTTTGAAAAAGTAGTTTTAATCTCAGAGCTGAGCTGACAAAGTGTTGTCACAGCATACCTGTTCCCTGTGAGTAGAGCCAGTCTCATCTCCACAGGGTCAGAGCTCTGATGATCAATCCAGACAATTAAAGGGTTATGCTTGGACCAATAAAGGACAGGAAACGGAAGATGGAGGAGAGGATGATTAAGATAGGCTGTACTTGGAGAAGGGAAGCCACAATAATGAGGCTCCAAGTCCTTAGGGAAACAGCCTTGGGGCTACTGCACTAGCAAGGAAGCAGATTGGATTAAAATTTGAAGGCAGCCAGAAGCAGGAGCACTACAAGTATGGGCCTAAACTAAGGCAACTGAAATTAATGAAGAGACTCCTATTGACTTTAAAGTGTTTTAGATCAAGCCTTATGGGGACCGAGAGCTTTATACCTTCTTTCAATCAAATCCATTAATCTCTATGGGTATGGCTACACTGCATTCCTCTTTCGAGAGAGGAATACAAATGCAGCTGAGCGAAATTGCAAATGAAGTGAGGATTTGAATTTCCCATGCTTCATTTGCACAATCATGTCTGGGTGCTATTTCAAAATACCCTATTTCTAAAAAAGAAATGCTGTCTAGACATGGTTATTTCGAAAGAAAGCCCTTCTTTTGAAATTACCCTTAAACCTCATTTTATAAGGAATAAGGGTAATTTCGAAAGAAGGGTTTTATTTCGAAATAACCGCGTCTAGCCAGCGTTTCTTTTTTCAAAATAGGGTATTTTGAAATAGCACCCAGACGTGATTATGCAAATGAAGCGCAGGAAATTCAAATCCATGCTTCATTTGCAATTTTGGGTGTCTGCATTTGCATTCCTCTCTCGAAAGAGGAATGCAGTATTCACCTACCCTATGAAAACAAGACCAGATCTCTAATGCAATAAGAAATCAAAGAGACAAAATACAACATTGTACCTCAATTATAGCAACACTTTCTTACCTCTTATACTTTTTGGGACATTAAACTCTGATATTTAGGATAAACACTGATCCTTCAGATGAACGTGGGTTTAAACAATCCTCTTCTACAGAAGAGCATTAAACTCTGCACTGTAAAGAATAAAAATGAAAGTTAGAATAAGTGGAAATGACTGGAATTCTGTATGTCACTAATATTCAAGTGCAATATTTATAGTCATAATTTATTCTGGTAAAATATTCTTGTGATGCATCATTTATAAATATTATTTATCATCTGATAAATTACAGAAAGACCTCAAAATATATTTAACTAAATGTGTCAAAACCAGAAACTCTTCAACAAGAGGAATACTCTGAAGATTCATCTGTCTGTTTTGACTGAGACTACGTATTTACCTCTCTCTCTAATTTGCAGAGCCATCCTTGACTCAAACTCCATCTCCCACATCACCTAGCTCTCTAAATCTGCTTACTGTTATCCCTGAAACAGCATTAGTCTATACCACTCCCTCAACTGTATTTTATTCATCCCTTTTCCCACTGATTAACTCAGCTCCTCTTTGGTTTCATCAAATAGCTGCTCTTTGGACTCCAGAATGTTCGTAATGCTGCTCATTCACTTACATCACTCCTACTACCTCAAACACTGCCACTGGTTTCCCCTTTTCTTTTCAAAATAAAGTCTAGTATTACTGTCTTTTAGAAGTACTTATTCCAAACCTGCCTCAAGTATCTACACCCTTTGATGCTCAACTTCATGAATCCAGCAATCACGCTTTCCAGTTTCTTCTTACAATCATTTTGGTTTTAATGCATTCGCTTCTACACTTCCCATTGTCTAAAACAGCCCTCCAAGCTATTTTGTGTCTGTTTTCAAAGTTACCTAATCCACATCTTTCTTCACTTGCTAGACATAATTTCTCTCTGCCTCAGCTATTGGCCATGCTGTCAGAAAGTTTTGATTTCTTCACAAAACAATGAATTGTATATCACTATTTTCTGTAATTTTCATTCCAGTGCCTTATATTTAAAGCTGTGATGTATTTTAGGTTATGAAAAAAAAGTGTGTTTTCTCTGTAGCAAAGAATTCCTGTAAAAGTACTGAACTTGTATATTTAGCTAATGGCTTAAGAATAATTATTCTTAGAGAAGTAAAAAGTACATGTAGTATGTTTAAGTTTAATTAAAAATATGATTGCTTCTCTCTCTGTTCCTGCTAGGAGTCTTTAACTAGTTAAAAAAACACTGAAAAAACCCTATGAAATTAATGCAGAGTTTCTGCCAAAAGAAGAAAAACAGCTACGCAGCATGACTCAGTGAACCCACTCATTTTTCTCTGGCCTAATAACCCGCTGGCCCATTGACCTACTTTTTTTGTAAGGTGGTTAAACCCTCATCTCACATTTAGATAGTTTTGTTCGGTCTGACAAGTGTAAACATTAACAGTCACAAAGAGACTTGTTGAAATCTAGATTACAGAGACTGTAATATGAAGCCCATGTTTTTAAACTGTTCAGAGTGTAAGGCTTTGCCAACCCTTCCACAAGTTCTGACAGCTCTAAATGAGGAAAATTTTACAGCTGTACAAGCTGTGCATGCAGGAGATCTCCTATTGCAGAGAATATTCTGAGGTTAAACAGTACAAAGTCACATTTCATAATGTCTAAAAAGAATATAGTAGAAAAGGACACATTTGAAGGGAGACTTTGGAGAAAGGAAAAAACCTTTTGACTTTCATAAGTGGTTACTGAAACATATGGAAGTTTAAATGAAAGCAAGAAGCAAGTTAAACACAGTGGAAAAGGCTTTTTAAAACAAAACCACATAGGAGCTTTAGTAAGTAGAGAATGCACGTGAAACCTAGCAGAAAAGTGTTGATGTCTACCCATAAGTATTGCCCAGCCAAGATATTCATAGGTCATGAAGGACTCCAAAAATCATGAGATTTTAAAAAACATATTAGGTTCTTTTATTTGCCTTCCAGATTTTAAACCTTTATAGTATAGTCAGTAACTTTTTTCAACTTTTCCCAGAAATCATAAGGGCTAGAAACTTTTCTGAAAATTAAACTAAGAGTCTCATGCAATCTCCTGATTCCAGCAGCTAGAACTTTAAGACAAATAACTCTAAGAGACCTGCAGCAAAATCATGAGAGCTGGCAACACTACACATTTCCACATCACGCTTACCTGCAGAGGAAGACAGCAAGTAATAAGGGGTACATCTATACAGCGGTTGGAGGCATGCCTCCAAACCTGGATAAACAGAGACATGCTCCAACTCTGTTTGAGCTAACAGGGTAAAAATAGTAGTATCAACAATAGTAGTGTCATGGATGATGATACAAGGTAGCCACCAAAGTACTGACTCAAAGTGCTGGATAGATTTGTACTTTGGCGACTTGCCTCATCTGCCACCAATGTCACCATGTCCTGCTATTTTTGGTAAGGTAGTATGTATCCGTTTACTGGGGCTAAGAGGCATGCTTCCAACTGCAAAGCAGACATACCTGGGTGGCCAAAGTAATCAAGATATTGAGTCTTTAAAGCACTTACAGAATCACCAGCTGGAATCCTGCCCAAGATAATAATGAACATTTATATCACATTTGCGAGTGGTCAGATATCTATATGGAAAGAATTAGTAACCACAGTAGAGTTTTACATCCACAACTGGTACTAAAATTGGTACCACTGATTCTCAGTTCCAATTATGGAACAAGGTCTGAAGGTTGAGAAACTGTCTCACTCCTAACACCAGTCATGTCACGATAGAATTGAGAAATTGCTGAAGCAGCGTAGGGAAACTTGCATTGCTTCTGCCCACCCACTCTATCTGTTGTGTGGACAAAGAACTTAAGTCTCCAAGGTAGTCAGCCAATATTTTTCCAATATTATTACTAAATATTTTTAAAGAGACAGTGAACACAACATTATTTTGTAAACAATATTATATAGAGAGCTTGGTTTTACAAACAGCTTTTTCATAAAATCCAGATTCCAGGGCCAGAAAGGAAAACAATCATCATCATCTAGTCTTACATAATATTAGTCTGAAGAATTTCTGCCAGGAAAAATCATAGAAAACAGAATTCAGTTTTCTGACAGATTCTGTGTGTCTCCCAATTTCCCAGCTTGTTAGGTTTAGTAAGTATTTCTAACAGGGACAGATCATTAACATTTTAGTACTTACTCTATGTACCACAATCCTAATATGATAAGGGAATTTACTAATGATCTAATAGGGCATTTCTACTGCTAATCCTTCATGATTTTAAAGAATCAAAACTGTTCAAGAACAATAGTATCTAGCTACACAGTGTTCCCTGATCTAACCATTACACCACAAACATTTATTTACAGTAGAAATGCTGAAGCCACTTATGCATTTGTAGGTACTAATGTTGAGTAAAAATGCTGCTTTCTTAATTTGTACCAGTGGCTCTCAACTTGTTCTACTGCAGCACCCAACTGCAATGGATGTATGGATAGGCATTAGGGATGTAAGGGTATGTCTATACTACAAAGTTAGTTCGAACTAACGGACGTTAGTTCGAACTAACTTTCATAGGCACTACACTAGCGCTTCGTTAGTTCGAATTTAATTCGAACTAACGGAGCGCTTAGTTCGAACTAGGTAATCCTCATTTTACGAAGATTAAGCCTAGTTCGAACTAGCTAGTTCGAATTAAGGGGTGTGTAGCCCCTTAATTCGAACTAGTGGGAGGCTAGCCTTCCCCAGGTTTCCCTGGTGGCCACTCTGGCCAACACCAGGGAAACTCTTCTGCCCCCCTCCCGGCCCCGGACCCCTTAAAGGCTGACCCTACGGTGCCTGTGCCAGGTGCAAGCCTGCCAGCACCCAGCCAGCAGACCCTGCACCTGGCACGGATCGAGCCACCCACCCGATGCCCCCCAGCCCTCCCCCTCTTCCCAGGACCAGGCTGGCGGCTCCCGGGAGCTTGCCCAGGACCGCAAGAGGCGGGCACCCACCTGGTCTAGTGCGGACATCGTGGACCTCGTCCACGATCTCCGCA